TTTAAGGTGACCCTGCTCGGGTTTTGACCATGTCTACTTGGACACATCTTAATATGATAAAAAATTACTTTAATGTACATTTATATGATAAAAAAAAATACTATATATATAATTTTAAAAATTTTAAATTTAATTTTTTCGATTCCTTCAATTGATCAGGTGACCCATCGATTGAATCGATGACCCGCTAGCTTGACCGAGTCGATTTCAGGCCGAGTTTAAAAACTATGCATAAGTCTAGTTGTGTAGTAAAAAATCAACTTCAATTGAAAAGTGGGCTTCTTATTATTGAAAGAAATTATGTATCACTTTCATGGTACTATGGTTAGGCTGGACTTCTGTGTTCATCCCTATTGAAAGAGAGTGGGCATAATAAATATGGTTTTGTTCGTATGTGGTGTGAAACAAACTGGGATTGATTCTTGTTGGCTTGTGACTCAATAATTTAGCTCACAATGTTGACATTTCAATTGTTCTGTTGCTAAGACCAAGTTGACATTTCAATAATTTATTTATTTATTTTTGGCATAGTACATAAAATGTATCCCACAGCACATGTTCAGACAAAATTCTAATAAATTATCTATCTTTTATTCTTTTTCAAGGTTTTAAATAGCAGACTAAAGTGTTTATGGTACTGTAACTATAGCGGAGATTTAGCGGAATTTAGCGGCTAAATTGCACATAAATACAAATAGCAGTACGCTGCAAAAAAAAAAAACGATAACTTTAGCGAGCTATTTATTTCCTTGATCTTTTTAGTTAAAATTTTGGTAGATTTATTGCTCAATTCTTGGTTGATCCATAAAAAACACATGCTATATACTAAAAATTGAGGCTACCTCTAAAAATTGAAAAAAAAATGAAAAAAAAAAAAATGATAAAAACATAAAAATGGAATATAATAAAAAAATGCTTCAAATATCCAATGGCAAAACTGGGTATATGTATACACATTTCTGCTACTATATCTGGTAAACAGCAATTCATGGAATCGCCTAAAATGCCCCCCCGCTCATACGCATCTCTTTGCTAACGGCATTCACAGCTTTGCACTCTGAAGAAAATAAAAGGATATGAACATAACAATATGCTTGATAAAAGTCTTAATTCAGGCACTTCTTAAGGAAGTTTGAAGAGCCGGACGAAAAAATTATTTGTTTCGAGTCCCAATGGTTTTTAAGGATGTGATCGTGCGATTAGGTACAGGTTAAAATGGCCACTGAAAGAATGCATGCGCAAAACAAAATTCAAAGTCGGTGATGAAAATGAACCTTCAATTGGTTCAAGGCTTTCATCAATCTTGCATAAATTGATAATTAACCATAAAATATCGAAGAGTGAAAATAAGAAGCTTTACTTGTTAATGAGAGATCTGAAGAAGAATGAACGAAGTAAAATACAAGCAGGAACAGATTGCAACTCCAGCAATAAAATTGTGCAACAGCCTTTGGTTGTCTCTTGTCGGGACAAAAGCTAACTTCAGTGTGTTTGTCAGCTCAAAAAGTCGATAGGATATCTGCATTCAGAGAGACAGAGAGAGAGAGAGAGAGAGAGAGAGAGAGAGAGAGAGAGAGAGAGAGAGAGAGAGAGAGAGAAGTTAACTAATGATATCTGGGCAGGCAAGTAGAATCGAGGTTTGACACATGGTAAATTAAATTTCAGATGAAAAATAGGGAACGTTTTTACTCACCAAGACATAAATGGCTGTTGTGAGCATGAAATTAAGCAAAGGATATTGTGGAATGAAACAGAGCAGCCACTTGGGCTGTCCATTGGGCTTATTTGTTCTGCACAAATGACCATAGAATGTTAAAAGAGTAATGAATGGAAATGAATTCAAATAACTAAGCATAAATCATGGACCAACAAGAATTAGCTGAAATAATTACCTCAGCCATATGTGGAATTGGGAGATGTATGTTTCTAAAGTTATTTTGCCAAGCCACCTGGTAAAAAAGAGCGTTTGCATGTAAGTTCAGCCGAAAAGATAAGTATTCAAATTGCTAATGCTTAGGTCACAAAAAAATTAATAAAATAAACAGAAAACTTACGCGAAAAGGGTCAAAGAAAAATTCCGAAGTTCCTGACTGAAATTACGTAAGCAAATATAGACACTGAAAGAAAAATGTATAGAGAAGAAACATGAGAAAATCGATACTAAGAAGAAAAACATTAGATTGAAGCAAGTAAGCTCTGAGTTTATTGTAAAATAGTACTATTTGGGAGAAGAGGAAAGCGCTTTACATCAGATATAACAAGATCATTAATAGAAAAAGAAAATATATATATATATACAAAATAGAATGACAAATTTCAATACGTACGTTATGGGGATCCACGATGTGTAAGGATGGAGCTTGTTGTATGCAACTTTGTCCAGCTTGTATATGTATTCATACCACAAATATCCTACCTAAGGACAGAGAATGAGTCGAACAACTATCTCTATCAAATGAATAGTGGGGATGCAAACAGGTAATTTTCTAAAATTAGGTAACTCACAACTAAAGCAATTGAGACAATGGATGTTTTTATTGTGCGCCTTCGCTTGGCCTCAGCTTCTTCCAGTTTCTCCATCAACTTCTCAACCTGCAAATGATAAAAGCAAATGAGATCACAAGTTCGTAAAAATGATATATATATATCACTAACTCAATAATTGTAGATATTACATTTGGGTGAAAGTAAGCATAGATCATTCCAACAATCCATATGTATCGATCGAGTCCTGATCTAAAATGCCATTCATGTAGTCGTGGAAGGTCTGGTTTTCCTGGGTCACTATACCCTGTCATTAAATTAAACAATTATCGTGATTTAAGTTTCTCAAAGGTGATTAAATAATAAGCAGATAATATTATGCTTCAATTAAACAAGTTATAAATGGTTTACTCACCTAACAAGAAACTGAGAGGACTCCACAAAATTTCGAAAACACCTGGAATCTCCCACACCAATATCACAACAAAAAAGCACATAAAGATTTTCAGAGCCATCACCGATCTTATCTCATTATAATTGTAACCTATACCAAGGGCTCCATAGACCATGAGTGTAAAGAGAGTATGCATAGGGCATATATAGTATAGCATGTAATCGTTGTTAAGAACGAAACAGCAGAATGCCACAAAAAAATTTAGCCTCCACATCATCTGCATAGAGAGTACAATCTAAGTTAAAATACTTCAAACAAAACAAAAGCGTAGTAGTAGATACCACTTCTCGTTCACTCAAAATTTTTATCCTCACCTGAGCAAATCGAGCAAGACTGAAATCTTTCCGGATGTAGTAGTACGAGAAGTTTCCAAAACCAGTCATCCAAACATATGCAGCTATAAAAACACGAATTGCATTGTAGATCTCTGATGCGGCAAAGTAATGGTACATCAAAAACAATACCTATCAAATACAAAGAGAAATATTTTCAGAAAAATTCCAAGAAATGGAGTGCACACAGCAATATAAGCAAGCTTTCTCATTTTTAGGCTTTAAATCAATCAAGATGCTTGATACAAAAATGGTCAAACCAACAAAATAGAAATAGCATGAGAATGATTGGGAAAAGGATGACCAAATTGCTTGCCTGCATATATCCTTTCCACTCTTCAGTCTGATGCCGGTTCAGATAAAGGATGGATTTCCCCGAAAATGCAGACTTGTCATTATGTTTCTTGAAAGAAGTCATTGCCGAAACTATGATAAGGAGAATGTAGAGGAAAAGGAATAGATCGCGGTTGTAGCTCTGGCAACAAGGAATAAGAAAAGGAAAATAAATTAATTAGAGAGAATTAGTAGCCAATAACTATGAGGGAGCCAAAGATATACAGATTGTTTTAAAAGGAAAAACTAGAAATGAAACAATTTTTAAAAAACTGATAAATGAAGTACCTTGTTTGAATCAGCAAAAACATTTGTGCGGTCACATAAGTAGAAATAGAACAAAATCCATCCAAACTCAGCCCTGCATAAAGATTGTAACACCATGACTAAGACAGAAATTTCTTTCATTAAACGGCAATTAACAATAAAATTTTAAAACCCACATTGCTCTTAAAAGTTGCCGATTTTCCAGCAAAAATGAGTCCTCCATTGACAAAAACCTAGACCAAGAAAGCAAACAAATCAGAAACAATTTCATAATTGCCGTAAATAAAGCAACAGGAAAATGCCATTACAATTATTATATATTATATGGACCTGATTATGCTTGTTTTAATAGAAGGACTGGTAAACTTTGTAGATGATGAAGATTTTGCAAGACCCCCTTCCATCAAAGCAGCCCGATCATCGTCCTTGATAGTCTCACTTTCTAGTTCAGCCAAATTATTATCTGAGTGGCTGCTACCAGGAAATTAAGCATAATGGGTAAGCTAATGAAACGGGGTGATACATAGATGTATAATGCACATGCATGTATCTTCTTCGTTTTCAAAGGGCTTTAATTGAACTGGTTGGCAGAAGAAGGATATTGCCAATCCCGAAGAACTTCAATATATCTGGTATCCAAAATCAGGGAACTGATAAAAAAAGGGGAAAGATGCTCACACTTTCGAAAGGGACGATGACCTCTTATACTCCAACCATTCAGAGTATATCCAAGCCACAATGACTGGAATGACCCCAAGCAAAAACGACACCTAAGAATCATAAGTGAACCGACAGCATATTATACATCAAATAATTATGTTAGTTCACTTTCACCATGTATGAAATCGAAACTGAAAGTGTGATCAAAACCCGCATAAAACAAGATATGCATCTTCAATACTAAAACACCGAATCTACAACTACTCAAGGATTAATCAAATGATTAATATGATGATCCTACAGTTACATCCAACGACTACCAACCACAACCTTCGTATACACAACATCAGATTTTATGAATGATTTATCGACCGATTTTATGAATATTGAAATTTCACAATCACTTATGTATAACTCTTCATGTCTAAATAAACTATGCATTTTAACACCAGATCCTGCTACTCACTCTAATCAAATGCAACTGACTCATACCAAAAGTCTTAATCATTTCATTTCAAACCCCGTGAAATCATTACAAAAACAATCCCCCGACTACTACCAATCGATCGAATCAAATGATCAGCATGCAAAAGAAAATCCGAAGAACGATACCAAATTCCACAGGACCATCATCCCAACAACACCCCAAGAAACACATCTCAGTAGGCACAAGCAAATTCAATCAAGAGTAAGCAGAAAATCAACATATGCAACCACATTTTAAAGATCTACATCGAGTTCACACTCACTAGTCAAATAAGCTGATGAATAGGAAATCAAAAGAAGGCAATAACACAGAACACATCCACATTCCCAGCAAATGCTAGTAACAACTGAAGCAGAACATACGCGCGCACACACACACACACACACAAACAAACACAAACAGCAGCACCAAACTGCAGGAACTGTAAGTGTCGTAAACTCACCTGCCCAGGAGTCACAGGCCCAGATTCCACCGCCATTTGTACAACCTTTTTTTCCCAGTAAAATCAATCGATCTACACAAAAAAACCCAAATCTACAAAACTCTCATGAACTCGAATTTTAAAAAGCAGAGATCTGAAGCAACAATGGGCGATGTGACCTCCGCTCGTTTGCTTCAAGATTTGATAAACTGAGAAAAGGCTTTTTCGGTCGAGACGTCCCTATTTTCAATTCTGAGACCACCAACCGTCTCTGTTAATATTATTCTAAGCTCTCTACCATTAATGGCTTCTGTATTCGTTTTCTCCTTCCTCCTCTTATTTATTGCTGTTTCTTACTATTTTTCTTTGTCTCTCTATTTTTGTTAAAACATTTCTATCATTAAAATTGCACCTTTGTAGACCTCTTACTTTTGTTTTTCTTTATTTCTTTCTTTTTTCTTTCAATCATGGGTTATTTTCTCTTTTTTCTTGCACTTTCATAATATAGTTAGTACCTAATAAAAGTATAAACGAGTCGAGTCGAGTCAGGAGTCGAGACCAGTTATAGCTCGTAATATTGGACCTCAAGCTCGAGTCCTAATCGAACTGAGCCGATAAACGAATTTGAGTTTGGTTTGTTAATGAAACTTCCAATTTCAAACCTAACGAGCTGAACCGAGGTGATGAACGTCTCGTTTCTTTTACTAACGTATATGATTATAGTATAATTACATGAAATTATAGGGTTGAGTAACTTTTGATCACTTGCAATATCATCTAGCAACATTTTTTAAATATCAATTTGTTGATTTAAGTGCAAAGAAATATGAAAACTCTATGTGAGGGCATTTATGCATAGATATGAAAAGTATGATCGTGTGATATTTCAGATTACCTTTCGCCATATTTAATATGGTTAGAGCTATTTAATTAAAAAAAAAAAAAAAACATGATAATCGTGATTAAATGATAATTAAGGATAGTCATTAGAATTAGAATGATGTAAAAATCAAACAACTGCCTTATACGGATGGTATATTATGGAATATTAAGTACAGACAGTGCATAATTATGTGGATTATTACAAATGAAGTAACAATTATGTATTGATTACTATCATAGTTATGACTTGTGAAAAAAGGAAATTGTTGATTTGGTCCCGTCAGATTGAGACGGTCCCAATTTTAGTCTCAAGAGGTACAAATTCAGTTCTTAATTAATTTTTGTTCCGCATTTGGTCCCAAATCTAACAGACCGTGAAGTCACCGTTAACCCTCACGACTAAAATTGCAACCGTGGGACTAAATTGCTACCGTCCCAATTTAACGGGACCAAATTGCAATTTTCTTAATTATTTTATTTATTTTTTTTTTTTGAGAAATTTTTACCCGTCCTACTAGATATTAAAGTATTTTCGATTTTACCTTAATGAAAAAGTATTTTCATTTATACCTAAACCAACTTTTTATTTAAGAGATTGCATCAATTCAGTTACCTTGTAACGTTCTCAGTTCACAATGACCTGCGTGATTTCTGTCATTTCAACCAGAAACAAAAAAAAAAAAAGAAAGAAAATCGTGATCTTCAATTCAAATTTAAATCAGCCCTATTTTTATGGAAAAGATTTGACATTTGAATTGCAAACCTTCTCTTAATCGCGACAGAAAAAAGAACAAAACACCGAACATATACTACAAAAAAAGAGAAGAATCGGAGTTCTTGCAATCGACTAAGTTCACCGAAGATATAATACAGAAAATCGTGACTTCACGATTCAGATACATCGAGGTATATTTACGTAATTTTGTAGGATATTTGAAAACCACAATATTTTGAGATTTTTTTTGGGGAATTATTACCTGACATACACCAAAAATATACTTCAAATATATTAAAATGTGTAACAGGTGCAGAAAGCCAGTGACAAAGTGTATAGCATAGAAAGAGGAAAAGATACATCGGATAAAGAGAAAAGTTAACTCGGATATACTCAACATATAACAAGATAACCAGAGAAAAGTTACCTCGGATATACTCGGATATACTCAACATATAATTTAACATATTACAGAAATTATAAAAGTTATCTCGGATATACCCAACATATAACCAGATATATGAATTCACCAACTTGCGATACTTGAGCGCGTAGAACATCTCGAAATATCGCCTTATCTCCAGACCTTCGAAACATACACATGTACTTGGTATCGGTCCGTTTCAGATCGACGATTTGCACAACGAACTCCGACAAATTTGAAAAAGAATTCGGACATGGGTTGGCCAGAATAATCGCCCGATTCCTCCCTCCTCAACTCCGCGCCTCCACGACCTCCATCTCCGATCGCTATCCGATGGGCTGCGACCTTCGACGGGCTCCGACCTCCGATGGGCTGCGACCTTCGCAAGCGCGGGTGCGAGAAGAAGAAATTAAAATTTGGGATTTGATTGTTGTGAGATTTTTGGGGTTCTGCTAATTGTAGAAGAAAGAAATTTGGTGATTAGTAAAGGAGAAACAGAAGTGACGGCGAAGAATAAAAACGAAGAGGGCTTGGGGTGTATTTTGAATTATAGGTATAATTAAAAATATTTGTAACTTTTTAGGTAATTTTAAAAATAAATATATAAGGGGTAGAAAAATGTAATATAATTTAATTGTGTTAGTATGAGGTGCAATTTTTTCTTTTTTTTTTTTTTTTAAAAAAAGACATTAAAGAAAGAAACGACTTGCACGCACACGTAATAATACACATCTTAACTTTGTCTTTGTTCATGAACAAAGTCTTACTTTGTACATAGCCCAGTTTCGTTTTAGCAAAATCCAACACGCAAACAAAGGCCCAAAACATTGTACCTAAAACAATTTTATGTTTTCACGCAAACAAAGGCCCAAAACTAACAAACTCGCCAATATACTAATATGTAGCTGTATTCGAATACAAACACACACTAATGAACTCCAACCAAATACTAGCCTTTCACGGTTCTGTTTACTCCCTTACTCGATTAGCTTAACTAATTGTGACGTTATCATAGATAACAACGCGTTTTGCTACCTGAATTTACACTTATAGTATATCCTAGCCGAAACACGCTCTTCCGTTAAATCTAACTACTGGACTATGCTGAATACACTCTAGATTTAATACAGTAGTTGCTTTAGGATATAGGTTAATATGCTAGTCTAATAAGTAGGTTCACATGCTCGGTTTGTGTAAGTAGGTCGTGTTATTCTCAACAGTTATTCACTAACGTTTGCTACTAACAAATTGAAGTTGAATAACAATTACTGATTGTAGATTCAATTCTAGCGTTAAAAATGAAAAATCTATAATAAAATAAAACATATTATGGTTGATCAAACAAAATAACACAAATATATATGGTCCATGTAAATAGAAAACAATCAATCATCGCGATTAATTCAGCACAGTCAATACGTAGACATCACTGCAATTCATGAAATTCTTTTGGTCCTGTGGAATTTAATGACATGATAAGGATGCTAAAATTTATAAATTTTAAAAATATAATGTATGGATCTAGTTTATATTATATTAAATTTATTTAAAAACATAGTTAAAGAACGACTATTTTTATTCATTTTTGGTGAGTAAACGACCTCGACTTGGTCTGACGTCCTCTGATCCGTCCTTCAACCGGTGAAATGACATGCGAAACAACGTCGTGTATTGTTCCCGCGTATAAGTTTCGGCTCTCAAATCAGTAATCAAGGATGAAGATATATTGTATCTGTATAAGTCTAGAATATTCAAAGTGTGTAGAGATATGATGATCATACCTCAACCCTTTATATAAAAAGATGTTATCTTGTTGCCCAAGCTCAACTTGATCTTGTTGCTCGTACCCGAAATACCCGATCACTTTGTCCGAGTGCCCAAACTGCTCAATTACACATGTGTCCTTGTCATCATAATTAATTATATTCATACTTATTTATTATCTGATGTGTTCACATTAGTCTACCTCATTATGTAGCAACTCTAAGCATAGTCGAGCTACCAGCTCGGTTTCCTTTACACGTGATCTTACTGGTCTTTCCCGAGTAAGTCCATTCTTATGTTTTTAATCGACCTTTGTACTTCAAGTCCAGTTTCCATTAGACTACATATCTTAGAATACTAAACGACCTGTTGTTGAACCAGTTTTCCTCAGAGGCCCTCATCGACCTGGTGCTCTCTCGCTCATATCTACATATTGTCCGACCTCCGACCAAACAGTTGATCCACTCAAATCGCTCGTGCTGCTCTCAAGTCGCCACGACCTAGTACGTGGTTGCTATAGTATATCTAGTGTTGTGAAATTAAACGAGCTAGGCTCGTTAAAGCAAGAACTCAGATCAAATGAGTCGAGCTTGAGCTTATTTAAAGCTTGTTTGGTTAACAAGTCGAGTTGATGATTAAAAAAAATATTTATATAATTATATATAATTCGGCTGGTTAAAACTCGAGATCAGGTCGTCAAGGCTCAAACTCGATTCGTTATTAGTGATAAACG